CAGCAGAGGATGAGACAGATATGGTCATCAGAACGATGAACATGAACTTGGACAGACATTAAGAAATAATGGAGGATAGAAGGGCCTGGAATGTTATGGTCCATGGGATCATGAAGAGGCAGACAACTGAATGCCTAAATTACAGCAAATAAAAAATGAACTATTTTATCAGAAAAGATGCCTGTCTCCTTTTATTTGGTTCATTAGCCATTTTCCTCAAAGCAATGGACAAAAACTATCAGGACATTTGTAAAACGAATTTTTTCCCACACACACAATGTATAAGTAAGACCTGAATAGCATCACAAAAAATGGACTCGGTGCTACTTTAAAAGACAAGAAATGACTTTTTCCTGATGTGGGAGTCATTCCTGAATCATTTGCTGGTATCAGACCACCAAGTTGTCAAAACAGAATACTAACAAAGCTAAAAGAAAGAATGAACATGAGGGAGGGAAAGGCATGTGATTTGAACGACTCACTTTGGACTAGGAGAGATTATAGATAATGAAATAAGGAAGAAAACTACACTGATTATAATAATTTAATGTAGGTTACAGTTCAACCAGTGGAAATTGAAGAGATTATAAGAACAGAAACAAGGAGATCAAAAGAGTATAAAAAGCACCTTAATCAGCAAACCCTGACTTATTTGCTAAATGGAATGAAATGGTAGAGAAATGGAATGAAAGATTAGAATGTAAACTCATTTATAAAATGTTATAAGGACAATGGGTGAGCAGTATTACTTGGCAGAGCAAAGATAAGTGGAGGGTGAAATTAATTTGAAGAAAACTTGACTAGAGGTCCAATTGAACAAGGGCATTTAAACATGAAAATGGAAGGTCAACAACAATGAGAAAAATGGAAAAAATCTGCAAATAATTTTTAAAACAAGCTTTTTCACCATTAAGAATAATAGAGTCACTACCCTTGGATTCTAATGCTACAGTAGTAGATGTGCTTATAGAGAAGGTAGAAATGGTACTAAATAAAAAACAAAGAAGGAAAATGTCACATGGAACACAAGACTTCCATGCAACACAATTGTGAGGGAATCAAGGGACTAGTTCACACTAAAGAAAAGAAGATTCCAATGATGTAGAAAAAATTCTCGGACTTTATTAATATTGAAAAAAAAAGGCAGCTAAGAAAACACTAATGACCTAAATGCCTACTTTCCTATCTATGTAAAAGTTTGCTATGAGTCATATGCACATGCACTGAGGGCATCTGGGTGAAGAAGGTAGGAACAATATTCCCTTTCTCTTCTGTCACACAACTGACTAAAAAGATATAGAAAATATAAAATTCCACTGTGCTTATTGTTCATTGATTCGATGAGCATTTTATTTAATATAGCAAAATATTACCTTTAAGAATTTCTTTTGGGGCAGCTAGGTGGCACAGTGGATAGAGCACCAGCTCCAGAGTCAGGAGGACCTGAGTTCAAATTTGGCCTCAGACACATAAAAGCTCAAAAGCTCACTAGCTGTGTGACTCTGGGCAAGTCACTTAACCCCAATTGCCTCACAAAAAAAATAGTTTCTTCCAACAAGATGTCTTTCATTCTTATATCAAAATGATTTGGGGGCAGCTAGGTAGTGCAGTGGATAGAACACTGGCCCTGGATTCAGGAGCACCTGAGTTCAAATCCAGTCTCAGACACATAACACTTACTAGCTATGTGACCCTGGGCAAGTCACTTAACCCCATTGCCTAACCAAAAAAAAAAAAAGAAAAAAGAAAAAAATGATTCAAAATTCCTTGAAAAAATAACAATAACTTGTTCAATGATCCTCTGATGATAAACAACAGGAAAGGCATAAAACAAGGAGATATAGGCTTGTCAAAGGCGTTCGCCATTGCTATAAAGGAGATCCAATACAGAGTCCAAGTTGAAAAGCAGTTCCTTAGGGATGGTGAAGTCTTCCTATTAGTGGATAACATTGTTCTTGTTTGCATCAAGTACCACACCACTGCAGAACCTATTGGAAGAAATCTGCAACCACTCAAAAAAATCTGACTCAAACATCCACATGGGAAAAGATCAAAAATGTCTCTTATCCAGATTATGACATGTAGTTGGAAAGATAACCAATAGAGCTTAACTATCACTATACACGCCTCAGACAGGAAGTAGAAATGGACAATGAATTAGGCTCAAAATGGAACAGGAGGAGGAGAGTGGGCTATATTGCCTTGACAAAATTGCAAAACTCCTCCGATGGTTCCAAACTTCTCTTGGAAACAAGGTCTATTCTTTTAATACCAATATTCTACTAGTATTATTATATGGCTTCAAAACATGAAACTCAGTAGTCTCTGAAGAAATGAAAATGAAGACATATTACAAAGAGGTGTGGGTGTGAGTAGTGAGAAACATATAACAAACAAGGAACTTCAAAGAAAAGGAGCAGAGGAGCAAAGAAAAGAAGATGGGGTGGTCAAGCTGCAAGGACAAGAGATCACGGGAGGACAGTTTGATTTGTCCACTTGTGTTTTCACAATATTAGGAGAAAGATAGAAGAAGGCTCCCATCGTGTTGGGTGTTCCCACATGGCAAGAAAACAAATGTGGAGTCTACGATACCCTACTTTGCTTATCGTTCATGGATATGCATGGACAAGAGTCACAAAGCGTGGGTGGACATCTTTCACTGGCAATTTGCATTGTTGGAGGGAACAACCAAATTGATGAGATCACAGATCATTTGAATAGCAAGATTCTATTAGTTAAAAGAAGATGCTTGTGTTCACCTGTTAGGCTAACTATAGTTGAAATGGTATTTTCTTAATTTCAGTTGAGCCTCAAAGGATTAATGATTAACCCACGTCGAATTTGGTGAGCTCTTGTCCAAATATATAAACTGGTAAATTGAAGGGAAACTCAGTCCTCAGATATGTGCAAAGTATGTGAGACCATGAGAGAGTTAATACAAGAAAAAGAAAAAAGGTATGAGTCATAGAGAGTGATAGAGTGTCACTTTGAGTTTTCTCAGATGCTAATGTCACACATTATCTATCCCAGTGCTAGTGAGTGGTATGAAAGAGAAAGCTGGGTACTTAATATGAAGGGAATGAGGTGGAAGTGATCAGACTTTCCATCACTTTTGCTTTAAAAAGTTTTCAACCTTCTTTGTGTCATAGACCCCCTTGGCAATCTGGTGAAGACTAGGGACCCTTCTCAGAATAATTTTTAAAAATGTATAAAATAAAATACATAGGATTAAAAAGGGGACCTATTACATTAAAATATAGTTATCAACATTTTTTAAAAAATAAGTTCATGAACCTCAAATTAAAAGCCCTATTTTAAAGAGAAGAGAAAAAAAGATGGTCATCATTACAAAAATTCTAGTACAGAAGTAGGGTAACTGAATCTGTAAATAATGAAATTTTCAAATTGGACTTTGCTCTTCAATTTTGATATTAAAAGGTTAGAGTAATTTTTCATTAATTTCTTTGGAAGGTCATATTTATTTTTATCTTGCATTAAATCTACTAAGTTTCCAGGATTGAAAGACTTTCAGATAAATTGTGCAAATGGTCTCTGAACCCTATGACATGTACCTGCTATCATAAAATTGGTAATGCTTTCCTCTCCTTTTCATTTTTTATTGACAGAAACATGATGTAGCTCAAACTTCTCAATAACTCTGAATAACATAATTTAATTTCACTTTCTTTTTTTTCAATTCCTACCTTGACTCTTTCCTGCTGAGTCTTATTCTGCACCAAACTTGCATCCCCGGAGAGCTAATTATAACTCCCTATTTTAGCACTTGCTTACAATGAAAATCTGTTGTCAAAAGCAGTTCATGTCAGTATAGAAATTCCAAAGGGCATAAATAATTCCTGAACACTGATTAAGTATTACTTTTGACTACTTTGTGGTTCAAAGTGAAAGCACAAGAAGGCCTAAGTCAATAATAGGGAAAACACTGAGTCAATAGGTGTTTAATAAATGTTTAATGAGGAAATGAGCTATTGTAAGAATTAGGCCCGGGATGCAGATTCAGCACTGGACCTGGAGTCAGGAAGACCTGAGTTCAAATACAGCCTCAATCTCATATTAGCTGTGTGATCCCAGACAAGTCCTTTCACCTCTGTTGGCCTTTAGTTTATTCATCTCTAAAATGGGTATAATAGTAACACATTTCTCCCTCCATTAGATTGTGAGTTCTTTGAGGCTAGAGACTATCTTTTGGCTCTTTTTATATCCCTAGCACTTAACACAATGCCTGGGACATAATAGGCACTTAATAAATGTTAATTGACTGAAGGCTGTTGCGAGGATAAAATGAGATATTTGCAAAGCACATCACTAAGCTTAAAGCACTATGTTACACATAATATTATTTTTATTACTATAATAATATGCTATTATTATATACATACTATATTATTATATAATACATAATATGTTAATAACTACATTGTATATCATACTATTATTATATTATAATATTACTATGATAATATTTGCTATCATCATCATTATCATTTTGTACACTTTCTAGTTATCAAAAAGAAGATGAATTCTAACAAGATCTGAGAAGTTCAGTAGGTATCATTGGTTTACTTTGCCAGAGAAATTGAAAACATTTTCAGGCTCATAAAGTTGTCACTAACCCTTCTCACTTTGAACAGTGCTGCAAAGTAACATAGCTGTTATGAGAGACCACAATTTAAAATAGTTCAGTTTTAGTGCTTTGAATGGTTGTATTTTTAGTCAAATGTTTTCTTTCCTTTGATTTAGTTTAAATCCTTAACTTATTAACCAGTTCTAATGGGTACATAAATACGATTGTTGTTTCTTCCACTACAGAGCATAATACTTGGAGACAGGATTGAGAGGAGGGAGAAATCTGATGTAGAAAGAGTGTCCATATTGTGCTTATTACTCAAGAGGGTAGGTTCTTAAACTTACATTTCCCAAGCTGTTTACTCTCTGCCCAGGACAAGGTGCTTGCTAGTGACCTGTCTGTCCTCTCTCACCTTAATGCTGCTTCCAGATCCTCCTGTGGACGTAGGTTGAGGTGTGGGTGAGGTTAAATCTCTAAAGCCTTCTTGCAGTTCTCTAGCGGCCTGTCTTGCTCAGCCTTTGTCTGCCAGTCACCTTTAGGCTGTATTGCACAATTTATCAAGTTGGCTGCAGGAGAATGTTTTACCTGCCTGGCTTGTTCTGATGGAAGTTCCAGTCAAGGACTTTGCCCTGGTGGGTGTGGGAGGCCCTGACTCACGCAGGAATCAGGATATCATTCTTAAATACACACACAGGGTGTTACTTGGTAGTTAGTGGGACTTTTAATACTGGGTTAGTACCATCTTTTTTTTTTTTTGTCCTACCCTCCTCATTACTTATTTCTTTCTGAAGAAATAGAAATGCAAAAGTAGGCTTGCTGAGGAGAATGGGTGCTGGGGGAAGAAGGGTTATCTGTGCTCTCATTTTTTCCTCCCAACCAGAAAGGGGTGGAGTTGAGTGCTGTTTGATCTCCTCTTCCAGTCCCTCCTAAATCCCTCCCTCCTCTTTCTCTTTGAATCCAAGGGTAGAATTTTACCTTGAGGATCTGACCTCTGCCCTCAGCTGGGCCAAGGTTCTAAAGGCCATATTCTTCTAGGGTAAACCTAAGGGAGTCCCAAGTTCAAGTTTTTGGTATCTTCTTGGACTAGTTATAGGGTCATCCATTAAACCTAAACTATGGCTCAGTAGGCACCAGGAATGTCTTTTAATCTCCCAAACCAAACCTGGAGGCTCCAGTCTATAAAATACAAATTCCTTTAGGGCCATCTGCCTACTATGGAAAATGAAGCTGGATATCTTTGGAGGAGCCTGGTTGTTCTAAACTGCATTTAACAGGCCCTATCCTACTTCTTATCTCTATAGTTCTGACTCTTCCTCTAGTCCCCACTCTACTCAAATTCCACAAAATGCCAGATCTCATACCCCAACTCCCAAAATTTCTTCATTTTCTCTCAGGCTGAGGGTGTGGAAATGTGACTACAATTACCATGATGACCAGATGCCACTCTGAGATCCACAAACTCTGTAATGTTGCCCTGGTTCACCAACATTACAGAAGAAACCTCTATAGTCTAAGTGACCAAATAATTTTGCCTTGGATAAGAAAGGATCCTGATGGCTGGGAGGGAGAGAGAGAAGAAAAATGCAGATGATCCCTTCAGCTTTACTGGCTAAATACTAATTTACTGAGTGTGTGAGTTGAGAGGGATATGGAGAGGTGTGTCTGGAGGGGGATGACATACTCAGAAACTTTAGGAAAAATCAAGGTAGCAGTTGTACAGGAGATGGATTGGAATAGGGAGATAGGAGACAGGGAAACCAATTAAGAGGCTATTGCAATAGCCTAAGTGAAAGGTGATAAAGGTCTGAAGTAAGGTGGTGGCAAGGTGCTAGGAGAGAGGGAGATATCTGGGAGGAAGGTTATAAAGATAGAAATGGCAAGGTTTAATGACTGAGTGGACATGTGGAGTGAGTGAGAGTAAGGAGTCTGGGTGATTCAAAGGATGGTACTGCCCTCAACAGAAAGTGAAGTTTAGAAGAGGGATAATACTTTGGGGCAGTGTGGGGGGAGAAAAATAATGAATTCTATTTTGGACTTGTTGAATTTGAGATACCTCCAGGACATCTGGTTATGTATCTGTTCTTTAGATGTTCATTAAGCATCAATGGTAAAGTTGGAATTGAATTGAATACAAAGTTATTCCCAGTCAATCAATTAGCAATCTATTGAGGAAGACAATATATCTGAAATAAAAATATGCAAAATAAATACAAAGTTAATTTTTTTTTAGTGAGGATGTATACAAGCATATGGGAGGATCAGGAAAACCTTCATGAAGAAGGAGTTTCTAGAAGTAATTTTTGAGGAAAACAATGAATTCTGAAAAGTGAAAGTGAGGTGTAATGCATTCCAGGTACCTGGGGACAGCCAGTGAAAGTCACTAATGGGAAATGAGTATCTCTTGTGAGGAACAGCAGACACCAGTTTGTATAGAATGTAGAATACAGAAAAGGGGCTAATTTATAATTAAGCTGGAAAGGAAGGTTGGAGTCAGGTTATGAAGAGTTTTAAAAGCTAAATAGAGATTATTGAATAGAAGAGAGACATGATCAGACTTGCTCTTTTAGAAAACCACTTCACAGCTGTGTGAAGGATGGGGAAAGGACTGGAGGCAGGGAGGCCAATTAAGAGGCTATTACAATAGTCCAGATTAGAGATGATGAAGGACCGAACTAGAGTAGGGACCATGTGAGTAGAGAATAGAGGACAGACCTGGCAATCAATTAGCTCTTTGGAGGTGAAGGAGAGTGAGGAGTCAACAGTAACTCTGAAGTTGAAAACCTGAGTGACTGCAAGTAGGGTGGTGTCCTGGACAGATAAAGGGAAGAGTCTATTCTATTCTTTTTGGGGTTGTCGAGGAAGAGAAGGGTAATGTTATGGGATAAAAATAGCAGAGGGATTTTTTATTCTTTTATAGCATAATGAAAATAGCATTGTCAACTTCTCCCAGTCATTCATTCTCATCTCACTTTGAAGATACTCCTTAGTTTCCATAATATGCGGTGTTGAATCATGACATACGTTGATAAGGTGCTGTTTCTAGACATACAACAAATGTCCTTACATTCCAAAGGAAGTTGGCAGCCAGTAGAAGTGAAGAATTAAATATATGGGAACCAATGGATGCCCCACCCTTGGATGAATATAAGTTAATTATTATATAAAGGTCTTTGAAAACAGAAAGTTCTAGAGAAGTATTTTACATGCTTTTCCTTAGACCTCAATGGAAGCTAGTATTTCTGACTTCAGAATTTGAGATTATAAGGTAGTATTTGGCTTAGAAAAAAATGTATGATTTCTCAGGGTTTGATGCTAAAAGAAAACCACAACTGCATATTGTATTTTGACCAAAGAGAGACACCAACTTGGTTTTGTAATAGAATTTGAAATTTTACTTTTATTGTCAGCAACACTAGATTTTAATTTATTTTCTAACACTAGGAAGATAAATACAATTATATTTTTATGTTATTTATATATTTAATTTTTATCTTCTCCTGCTTCTTCCTCACTCCCAAATTATAGTTAATAAGCATGGATAACATCACAGTGTTAGCTTAAGTCTCTGGCAAATAACAAAAGCAATCTTCACCTGGAACCTTCACCTCTAGTTCATTCCACACCAAAATTTTAAATAGGAGCAAGAATTTGAAATCTTAAGAGGTTTTATGTCAATATAATTATTCCAAGTGTTAAGATTGTTATAACCACTGTACTATACACACAGGTAGTCAAATATTTATTGATGATTCTAGTGTGTACATATGGAGTTTTGAAATAGAATTTTTCCCTGCTACCATGGATTTATGTTTTAAGGCAATGATAGAATCTATTTGTCAGCTTTTTTAGAGTTGTTTGGATATAGAAGGTGGGGTGAGAGGTGGAACTCTAGTCTGACAAGCCATTCTTCATGCTAGAGATTAATTTCCCAATTAGGGGAATAACCCATAAGGAGTTCCCATCAGGGGTGTAGACTATAGTGCTACTGACTTAGTTCTTAGTATGACTTAGTTCTTAGTATGAACTTTCAGTTTTGTACTTTCTTACTGATAGGGAGCTATTGGAATTTATTGAGTAGGTGCGCGCGCGCGTGTGTGTGTGTGTGTGTGTGTGTCTGTGTATGACATGGTCAGACCCGTGCTATTCTCCTAGTAATGCTCTTATGTTTGAGAATCTTGGAACACCACACTCTCTAAAGAATCAGCGTTGTCCATGATTCAAAGGCCAATGGAAAGATGCATGATGGATGGAGCAGGAGTCAGTCCAGTTCAAAGCATAACTCTTTTACTGCTCTTTCATTCCTGGGTTATCTGTATTTACTTATCAGGGTTGGTTTTTTTTGTTTGTTTGTTTTAAATTTTCCAGAAGCCTTATAAGCCCCTTGAGGGCAGAGGCTATTTTTTTTAATCACTTAGGAAAATCATTTTGGCAGCCAAGTGGAGGATGGATTGGAATGAGGAAAGACTTGAGTTAGGTAGACCAAATAAGAAACTGTTGTAGTATTCTATGGATGAGGTGATGGTGACCTGCACCAGGGTGGTGGCTATGTGATTAGAGAGAAAAGTACGTATAACAAGAAATATGAAGGTAGAAATGACAAGAGTTAGCAACAGAAGATATGTGAAATATGAAAGAGGAGTCAGGTGTGACACCAAGGTTTGGATTTTGGATGACTATGAAGGTGGTGGTGATGATGCCCTCAGCAACAGTGGGGAAGTTGGGAAGAGAGGATAATTTGGTGGGGAAACATAATGAGCTCTGTTTTGGGTATGTTGAATTTGAGATGTTTACAGAACATCCAGTGTGAGATGTCCAAAAGGTGATGTGAGACTGGAGCTCAGGAGAAAGAGGTTAGGGATGGAACACAGATCTGGAAATCAGCTGCATCTGATAACAACTGAACCCTTGGGATCTAATGGGATCCCCAAGGGAGATCTGGCTGAAGAGCCTTGGGGGATACTCTAGGTTAATGGGCCTGACCTTTCTGTTGAGGGAATTAGAATTCCACAGAATTTAGAATTAGAAGGTACTTCAGAAATTTATCTACTGAAGCCCCTTCATTTTACTGATGAAGAAACAAAGTCAGAGGGATCTTGCTCAAGGTCATACAGGGAGTAAGCAGAAGAACTGGGATTCAAACCCAGATCTTCCAAGGTCCAATCCAGTGCTATTTCTGCTACACAGTGCTGCCTTCATCCTGGTTTTTCATATTGGTTAATGGGTAGTGCTGTAATGTATGATTTCTTGGTTTTGTGAACTGTACACTGAGAATTCTCATAGTCCCACAGTATGATGTGGATTTTCTTAGTTCGCTTTCATTTCTTTCCTTACGCATATTCCTGAAGGGCTTTTCAGTGATATTTAGTCAATGAGGTATAGCACTAATGTGCTGAGCTGAGGTTAGGATAAGAAAGAAACTTCTTCTTTAGTTGGACAAAGAATTTAGTTTAAAGCTTCTGCGATAAACACACAAATGTTGCCCATCTATGCTGATTTTATTGGAAATAGTTCTGTTGGCAAATTTTCAGAGATGTAATTAGAAATGATCTATAA